TGAAGTGTGGAAACTTGAACCAATGCATATATGTGCCTAGTCCTACGTTGTAACTGACTGACTGACTATTTTTTCTTTGTTGTTGATTACTCTATCTTAAATAACAATGGGAAGATACAAGTAAGTAATACGAGGCGAATATAACTTCATCCCATTGCACAAGAAAATGTCCATTAGGATTTAATAGCTAAGTGGATACCGTGATGGCATTTGAAGCGAATGATACTGGGTTCGAGTCCCAGAGTGAACATCAATACAGATGCAGGTAAATCTAGCTGACAAGTTCCAAATAGGACGAAACGCATATCCTGTATTCCACTGTTAACCACTTTCCATCTTTACTTATAAAGCTTGTGATTTCAGACACTATCGAGGCAATCAGCACGGGATACACATATGCCAATAAGAGACTAATGATCAATTACAGTCCTAAATAACATTAGGAAGATACAAATAAACAACACCAATTGAGTATAACTAAATAATTTGTTACCTATATATATATAACATATTATGTATACCAGTGACAAAATATTGTAAACGTGATATGAACATATGCTATTCCGAACTAAACTAAAAAAGAAACGAACAAACTGTTGTTATGCTAATAATGAACTTTAAATAAATCAAACCAACATTCATTGATCTTTTAGTGTCAACGCATAGAAGATTCAAAATTTTTAAAAAAAAAATTAAAAAAGAAAAAACTCCTTAAAGCGAAAATTTCAAACATGAAACATTAAAATTGAAGTCGGTTGCTATGTCATTAAAAAAAAAGAAAAATAGAAACATTTTTAAATAACCGCGGAAATCAATATTTTCAATAAGGAACAAATGTGTCCCCTTATCATCAAAAAAAAAAAAAAATAAATCAAAATAGTTGCCAAGTCATGATTTTATTCAATGTTTAAAATATTACAATAATTTCAAATGGGAATAGATTCATTTATATATACATAAATTTTAAAGGTATTTAATGATTAGTCGTTGAATATTAGATGATAACTGAAGGAAAAAAGAGAAAAACAAGTAGAAATATAGAAATAGACGTTAAACTGAATTAGTACAAATAAATAATGGTAGGCAATAGTCAATGAATATCACATCAAAGTATTGTTTTTGATTGAGTTCATGAACCGATTGATGTTAGGCCACCGTTGGAAACCTGGAAGCACTGGAAGGCCAACTCGTCCTATTGTGGGACTCCTCAACAGTGCGCATATACGACCCCGCTTCACTGGATTCGAAACCAGCACCTATTAGTCTCGCGCTCAGCGCTTAACCAATTAGACCACTGAGCCGGTATCCAATGGTGTTGATGTTTAGCTTCAACTAATCCACGAAATTGAGCGACATATCCACCATTGTCATCAGTGAGTTACTACTTCTCACTAGAACTCCAGGATATATATCTTGAAGCCAGTCAGGACGAAACGGGCGTCCAGTGTTTCCAGGTTTTCCATGGTAGTCTAACTTCAACTGACTCATGATCTCAACTGTTTAAAATACACCTTATTTGTTTTTAATATATAATTACCAATATTACTTACTTACTTACGCCTTTTACTCCCAGTGGAGCATAGGCTGCCAACAATCATTCTCCAACGCATTCTGTCCTGGGCCTTCTTTTCTAGTTCCATCTAATTCTTGTTCATTTTTCTCATGTCTATCTCCATTTCCCGGCGTAATGTGTTCTTTGGTCTTCCTCTTCTCCTTTGGCCTTGAGGATTCCATGTGAGGGCTTGTCTTGTGACACAGTTGGGTGCTTTGCTCAATGTGTGTCCTATCCACATCCAGCGCTTCTTCCTGATTACTTCCTTTGCTGAGATCTGGTTTGTTCTTTCCCACAGTTGGTTGTTGCTAATAGTGTCTGGCCAACGGATCCGAAAATTACCAATATTGAACTACTGCAAATCATTTAATAAAGTTGAATGTTTATTTACATATGTTCTGTTTTTCAATCCTCCAGTATGTACTATTAGATGTTATATTTTTGATGGTTCTTACAAACAACTACATTCTGCATTCAATATTACAACAGTATTAGGAAGACCATAATGATGTTGAAATTACATTTCTAGTTCTTGTAGTATACTCTTAATCAGTGATACATGTTTCATTAGGGATAGTATCTAGGACTGACAGCTGATTAACATGAACCAATGGATATTAGTCCACCAGTTAAAAGATATTGTACTTATTGCTAAGCTTGACACTTCTGGATTTAATATCTTGCAAGGTCATCAATGATTTATGCTGAAGGCTCTTATTCCAGCAGTAAATAATCGTCTTTTACTTCCTGCTATTTAATGATTGTCTAACTATAGTTAATCTATTGAGATTAGATGGTGGTTGGAGGTATTCGACAGGAAACCCTGGACACGAGTTTCGTGCTACTTGGCACTCGTCAACAAGGTGTACCTGTAATTTTGTGGGAACTGGTGCACCCTGGCGGATTTGATTCCGTGTCACTCAGCTACACAGTTAGAGACATTATCAATGAGCTATGCGGGCCGTGACCGACCTCCTGTAGGACTAAGATGCAATCACAATTGATTGATAACTGGGTGGTGACCAATCTCATGTGGTAACGTCTCTGACTATGAAGCTGGGTGACACAAGATTGAATTCGTCAGGGAGCACCAGTTTCCTCAAGATTACAGGTACACATTGTTGACGAGTGCCAAGTAGCACGAAACCCGGGTCATCAGGGTTTCCTGTCGACTACCACCAACCACCATCTAATCTCAATATATAGTGCCCGCAGTGTCGAGTTACCTAGACTGGTGGCCACATTGCAATATAATCGATAGCATTCGATCTGCACTAATGAGGACTAGACACGCATGACATTGATCACCACCCAGTGATAAAAATTATAAACTGATTAATCATTACAAATACTGTTAAGAATTATTTTGGTCATGTTTATTTCTGTGAATCGGTCAGTTTGAACGTTGAAATAATTTAAAAGGTTCCTTAGGTTCATAAGTTACACTTGTGAAATATTCTATCTTCAAATGTAATTCTTCTATTTAAAATTTATGAATATACTATTTATTTAAAAATGGTTCTATCATCATCGAGAAGGTTTGTAGATATTATTATCAAGGTTTGAACTTGATAGTTATTCTGAAGAAGAGGCTTACTTTAAGTTACGAAACATCAGAAGTATAGTTTTTTCTACTTATTAGGATTTAGGTTTATTTGGTCTCTTTGAAAAATGAAGTTTTGTTTTATCTATGTATGCAGTCAAATAAATAACTATTCACAATCAAGAATCATCAATTAATCTTGCCATACTGACTTCATAACTCTCACCATATCCTAACCGTAAAGATAAATCCAAAGACCTTCCACTGTATATACAAACATTACACTATTAAATCATCTCGTTTTAATTGAAACATATATAAGATGTCAAACTGACATCACTGACTTGAAATGATCATCTTCATTTCAGACATGTTTTTTTTCAATTCACTAATTTTAGTCTTAACATATTTCGCGTGTAATTTTAATTTTCAAAGTAACTTATATCGATTATCAAGTTGTCTCTTGCCAACCAATTAGTTTTTCTCACTGTTCTTCATAAATTGTATAAGGAGACAAATGCCCTAGTACGGCCGAGAGTGTTGAGAATTAGCTTTTCCTATCCAAATTCTCACACATGGCCACGTGCATATAACTACTGACAGAAAAATTCCTGCTCACAGTACTCTTACAACAAGGGTGTTGTTTACGAAATTGAGAGGACGAAAAGTGGATGTCCGGTGTTTTAAATGAGTTTGTAGGTACAGAGGATCCATATATGGGGAAACTGGAAAACGCTGATTTCAAACCAATGGTGCATATGGGCTCCAGTATCCTGAAGGAACAAATGGCATAGGAACCAAATATTGGTCACCGGCCACCATGAGACTGCATCTCTTGATGTTGCTCCACTACCTTGTGGACTAGACTTTCAGGTCGAAGGCTCCGGGTGTGCCCCCACCCACAAAAAACACCTTTTCAGTCTGGGCACCTGGGCAGTATTCCAGCCGTCACACAAATTGAATGATTTATGTGATTCATATCTATTTAGTGTCTTCTTGTACCAATGTTTATGTGTTTAAATAGGTTTCAAAGTAATGAGTCGCTAACTAACTTCCGACTCAAATTCAGCACCTCACAGAAAGTAATATGAAAATAAATAATTTCATTACGATAATTAATGTATATAATCAAACTGGGTTCGGGTTATAAAGAGAGTGGACAAATCAATAAATACATTAGATGGGGTTGAATTTTCATACTACATACACTTCTGTTCTATTATATCCTCATATCATTAGAATGATAAGCAATAAAATATTTTAGGTTCAATCTCATAGATAGATTATAAAATGTTACTTCAGTGTTGCAGATGAATGCGAAATATCATGTCATGGATTTATTACACTTAGACGTTAACACTATGACGGCTCAGTGATCTAGAGGTTAAGTGTCCTCACGCAAGTTCCGCATTAGGGATCGTGGACAGACAGCTAAGGAATCCCATACTAGAACAAATAAAAACGTAATTTTAAACTGTTATATCTATAGTTTAGATTCTTCATATACCACCTATGATTTAACACTTGAATGCTAGACCACTCCCAAGTCGCTAATGAGAAAACAGAAGACATGTGAAACAAATGCTATTCCAAACAGTGTCCAATATGATATAAAACTGTCAAGTATTTATAATTTTTAGTGAAAATGAAATCATCATTAATGTCCTCTAATCCACGTACAGGTGGTTACTAGCATTCGTACAATAAGAAAGCTTCACTTAGGGATTCTGGAATATCTTCGTCACTTTCTGAACTTCTTAGAGCTTCCTCAAGTTCACCTATGAACTGTCCTCACAAAAACAAACTATGAGTAATGAGAACAATCTATGATATTTACAATCAAATTGATGATGATTATTATTATATCCTAATATAATTGTTTTTCTTTTTAATTTTATTTTAAAGATGAACCATTTCTATGTTTATTGGATATTGTACCAATTAAAAATGACAAATCACAAGTTGTTCTATTTCTTGTATCTCATAAAGAGTTATCACCTGATCGACATGGACGAAGTAAGTGTATATATATTGTTGATAGGGGAAAATGTACTTTTCTTTTAGGATTCTTTTAATTTGATAATTTATTTCATAATAAGTTGTACAAAAGTTATCAGAATGAGTTTTGTGGAGATTTTAGAAATTTCACTGATTGAAATCATGAGTCAATTGAAGCTAGAACACCATGGAGAACATGGAAGTATTGGATGGCCGTTTCGTCCTAGTATGGGAGCCTTCAACAATGCGCATCCATGATCCCGCACCCCATGAGATTCCAACCCAGGACCTATCAGCTTCGCGTCAGGCTCTTAGCCAACTAGACCACTTAACCGGTATCCAACAGTCCCAGCAGTGTCGAGTCACCTAGACTAGTGGCCACATTGCAACATGATCGATAGCATTCGATCTGCACTAACAAGGACTAGACAAGCATGACATTGATCACCACCCAGTGATCAATCAATTGTGGTATCCAACGGTGTTAATATCTAACTTCAACCTATCCAATCAGTTGAAGAATGGAATGTACGTGTGTGTGTGTGTGTGTTATTTTACAACAGCTAGGGTTACCAATTAAAGTCTTTTGTGAATATATATTTATATGACATTTTATTTGATATATTTGTTAAATACATATAAAAATAAATAAAGAATTTATACAAAAGTTGTAATGCAATCAATCTTATGCTTAACTACTTCAGTATCATTTATAACTTCATTTCACTTAAGAATGATTACTATAGTGATATTATGGTGATTATCATTATTATTCATTTGTTTGAACATATAAATATTGGTACAAAAGAGTATCGAATACATATGCGCCACACAAGTCACTGGATTTGTGTGTGGACTGTGATACTGCATGGGTGGCTAAACCGAAATACATGGTTTTCTTAGGAGGCCACAACCAGAGCCATCGACCTGAAGGTCTGATCCACAAGGCTGTGGAGCAACATCAAGAGATGTAGTCTCGTGGTAACTGGTGACCGATAGTTGATTCCTATGCGATTTGTTCCTTCAGGATACTGGAGCCCATATGCACCATTGGTTTGAAATCAGCATTTTCCAATTCCCCCATATGTGGATCCTTTGTACCTACAAACCCGGTTAAAACACCGGACATCCACTTTTCGTCCTCTCAATTTCGTAAACAGCAGATATGAAAACGATGAATTACAACTGGACGGAGCTAGAAAAGATTGCCCAGGACAGGGTTGGATGGAGAATGCTGGTGAGCGGCCTATGCTCCTTCACGCGGAGTAACAGGCGTAAGTAAGTAAGTAAGTAAGTAACCTCTACTGAGAAGGAGGCAGTCAGAGAATTTATATGCGTGGCTCTGTGAGAGCATTTCGAGAGAAAGAGAGAGAGAGAGAAACTCTACCCACCCTTGGCTGTACCAGAGTATTTGGAGGCAATTCAATAATCACAAATATTCATACTGTGGTTTATACTACTTATGTCAACATAAGTTGCATTTAACACCATTAGCAGAAGGTTGGGAAGATGGAATTGAAGAGAACGGGAATAGAGAATAATTGTTATGGGAATGAAGGAACGATGAAGTTTGAGACAACAGATAGAGGATTTATAAATGAATTATCGAACTTATGGTTTCTCATTTTACCAACAGACTCTTTAACTTTATATAGAGATGCAATCAGATGTTGTCATCTGTGTTCTCGTTCATTACAATACTACTGTTTACCAGAATGGGTTTTGTGGAGAGTTTTAGAAATTTCACAGGTTGAAATCATGAGTCAGTTGAAGCTAGACCACCATTGAAAACCTGGAAGCACTGGACGGCCGTTTCGTCCTGGTATGGGACTCCTCAGCAGTGCGCATCCACGATGGTGTACGGTGGTGCAACTTCGTGGATTGGTTGAAGTTAGACATTAACACCGTTGGATGCCGACCGGCTCAGTGGTCTAGTGGTTAAGTGCTCGCGCGCGAAGCCAGTAGGTCCTGGGTCCGAGCCCCGCGTGGTGCGGGATCGTGGATGCGCACTGCTGAGGAGTACCATACCAGGACGAATCGGCCGTCCAGTGCTTCCAGGTTTTCAATGGTGGTCTAGCTTCAACTGACTTATGATTTCAACTACTGTTTACCATTAGCTCTTAATGACTACTTTCAAAGTAAATTACTGTAATTCAAATGGTACGTCAAATTAAATTATGTAATTAATCAAATTGTTTTCGATATTAACATTAGATACGTGTCAACTGGCTTGTAAAACAAATGTCTCAAAGTCTATATTTAGTGATCTAGGTGTATCTTACTTTTTATAGGAACTGTGACTTGATGTAGTTAATCTACTACTATGTAATAATGAGTAAACGTTAATAATCAATGAAAATAATTCATAATATTAATGAATATAGAATAATGAATTGATTGTTTTGAGTATCTATCTACTACTCTTTACTATCTAAATAGTTATCAAATTTCTTGTCATCGTCCTATCGAAATCAGTAGTATAGTAATGTTTCTATAAAGTTTTAAAGTAATAATACACATTGTCTCATGATAAAATTTGGCTACCAATCAGAACTAATATCTGATCCATTAAGTGAAGATATTCTACACACAAAAAAACTGCTTGTCGACTTTTCCAAATAACATTCCTTTATAATCCGAAAGGGTAACTTTGTGAACATTTTAATAATTTAATGATTGAATTCATGATACAAAGAAACAAGCTGTAAAGGAATGAAAATGGTGTGCTACTGAGGAGTCCCATACTAGAACGAAACGGCTATCCAGTGTTCTTCCAGATTTTTCATGATGGTCTAGTTTCAGTTAACTCATGAATTCAATTATTAAATTCCCTTATAACTTTTAAAACTGGAGTTAGATACATCCCTTGATTGTTTTCAATCTTACAATATTTATTGTAGTGAGTTCTCAAATTAAACTAACATTGTAAACAAGTATAGACAATAGTATATATCAGAAGGGTTTTTGTGAATATTATAGTGATTTCAGCAGTTGAAATCATGAATCAATTGAAGCTGGACGGCCGTTTGGTCTTAGTATGCAACTCGTCAGTAGTACGCAACCCACGGCACCGCCTCGCGAGATTCCAATCCACAACCTATCAGTCTCGCGCGCAAACGCTTAAACTATAAACCACTGAGCCGTTCGACATCCAACGGTGTTAATATCTAATTTCAACCAATCCACGAAGTTGCGTCACCGTACACCATTGTCTTCAGCGAGTTCCTATCTTACAACAGTTCTAATTGAACTCACTGAAGACAATGGTGTACGGTGACGCAACTTCGTGGATTGGTTGAAATTGGACATCAACACCGTTGGATGCCGGCTCAGTGAACTAGTTGGTTAAGCGCTTTGCGCGAAACTGATAGGTTCTGGGTTCGAATCTCGCGGGGGTGGCGGGATCGTGGATGAGCACTGCTGAAATGTCCCATAGTAGGACAAAACGGCCGTCCAGTGCTTCCAGGTTTTCCATGGTGTTCGAGCTTCAAATGACTCATGATTTCAACCACTATCACTCTCCATCAAACTATGTCCTAGACAATACTTTCAAGTTATTCTCAGTTGCAATTCATGCTTTTCATATCTACTTCCAATTCTCAACACAGTGTGTTATTTGGCCATCCACTTTTCCATTTCCATTCAGGATTCCAAGTTAGTGCTTTCACCGTGATGCAGTTTGATGATTACCTTAATCAATATCCTATCCACTTCCAATATCTTTTCCTAAATTCCACTTCAGTTGGAAATTAGTTTGTTCTCTTCCATAGTAGGCTGCTGCTGATTGTATCCGGTCAACGGACATTCAATATCTTACATAGACAATTGTTTATAAATACTTGTACCATTTTGTTGATGGTTGCATTAGTTTCTACATTTCAGCTCCGCATAGTAGGACTGTCTTGACACTCTTATCAAAGATGCTGAGTTTGATATTGGCCTGCAGACAGTTGTTTTGAATTCCATATATTTTTCACTCGTAGAAATGCGGCCCTTGCCTTTCTAATCTTTGCCATAACGAGTGTTTCAAACTCTTCTTGTTAATAGTTACTGCGGTCCAGGTACGTGAAACTTTCCACCTTTTCCAGGGTTTCTACATTATTTGTGATCGGGATAATGTTCTCTATATTGAGGCCTACTGATTCAGTGACTTCTGCTACACTGTTTGTGTTGACCTGCATTTGTTGGTGTATACGGCATAGAAGACCTAGGTCATCTGTGAAATCTAAATCATCTAGTTGCATGCAAACTATTCAATGTATTCCATGCTTCTGAAATTCGAAAGTCTTTATAATCCAGTAACCGTAGAGGTAAATAATCCCATTGTTTAAAATATATCTAACAAATAATATTAAAAGCGGTAATTTTTATCGACTTATTTAATGTAAGATGACCTGTCAAGAACAAAACTGGTTATCTTTTTCAAACTCAGGATTCATAATTTTCTACTCATATCCAATCTTCACTTACTCAAGATGAACTACACATCCCGCAACAACTTTCTACAACATCAAGCTATAATATTATACTTATTTTAAGTGATATTCATAGTTCTAAACAAAATAAATTACCTTATGTTTATTCACTTAGATATAACTTATTATTTTTTAAATAGTTTCTAATCAGTCAATCAATAAATTCATAATCAAAGAGGGGTTTTGTGGATATTATAGTAATTTTGATGGTTGAGATCATGAATCAGCTGAAGCTGGACCATCATGAAAAACCTTGAAGCACTGGACAGCCATTTAATCCTAGCATGAATGTGCAATGCTGAGGAGTCCCACAGTGGGAAGAAACGGTCATCCAGTGCATACAGGTTTTCCATGGTGGTCTAGATTCAATTGATTCATGAACTCAACTATTGAAATTACTATAATATCCATAAAATAACCTTCTGATACTAACCAACATATGCTCACTAGTGACTGACTTCAACAGGTATATCCTGGAGTTCTAGTGAGATGTAGTGATCAGTCGAGTTCAACTAGGTCTGTTGCGAGATCTCAGCTCACTGATAATAATGGTTGATGTGTTGCTCAATTTCATGGATTAGTTGAAATTAGATATTAACGCTGTTGGATGTCGAGCGGCTCAGTGTTCTATGGTTTAAGCGTTCGTGCGCGAGACCGATAGGTTCTGGGTCGGAATCTCGTGAGTCGTGATCGTGGATGCGCATTGTTTAGGAGTCCCACAATAGGACGAAATGTCCGTCTAGTGCTTCCAAGTTTCCAACGGTGGAAACACTGAGCGGTCGTTTCGTCCTAATGTGGGTCTCCTCAACATTGCACATCCACGATCCCGCCTCATGAGAATCTAGAACCCGTCGATCTCGCGTTCGCGCGCGGGAAGTTTTACTTTCTTGAATAATGCAGATTTAGTTCGGCATTAAACGTCTATCAAATTGTTATATGAACTATCTTAGATAAAATATGCAATAATCATACTAATTACATTATCACACAAGATTAACTCATAGGAAATGACTAAATTAAATATCTCTACTTTAGGTAATTGAACAGTCAGATTGAAACATCTTTATTCCAGCTCTTACACAATATAACTAGTTCGACTAGATAATTTACTATGTTTACTATGTGTACGGTGGCGCAACTTCGTGGATTGGTTGAAGTTAGACATTAACACCGTTGGATGCCGACCGGCTCAGTGGTCTAGTGGTTAAGTGCTCGCGCGCGAAGCCAGTAGGTCCTGGGTCCGAGCCCCGCGTGGTGCGGGATCGTGGATGCGCACTGCTGAGGAGTACCATACCAGGACGAATCGGCCGTCCAGTGCTTCCAGGTTTTCAATGGTGGTCTAGCTTCAACTGACTCATGATTTCAATCTGTGAAATTTACTATGTTGTTAGATCAATTACCTTGAAGCGTTTTCAGAATTATCAACATACAAAGACACAACTTGTTTACATATCGTTGTGAAACGTTTACTATTCAATAGTTTAAAACAAATTTATGAGTTCAGAAAGCGTTAGTTGTCAGCATTGGACATCCACTATCCCTCACGTGGGACTCGAACCGACGAACGCCTAACCTTTAGACCACTGAACCGTCATCCAACAGCGGATAGCACTAAGATGGATCTCCTGGAGTTCTGGTGAGAAACCGTGACCAGTGAAATTCAACCGTGTCTTTTGTGAGGTAGTTAGTCACAGAAGACAATAGTGGACCGTAGCACAATATCGTGGATTGATTAAAGTTAAACATTAACACCGTTTTATACAAGCTCGGTGATCTAGAGTTTAATCATTCTTACTCGAAACTGTAGGTCATGTGTTCGAGTCCTACATGAGGAATCGTGGATGCTTACATACTTATATCATACTTGGACAAAACGTTCAACCAATGTTTTTAGATTTTCAATATTACTCTAACATTGATTCCTTCATGATATCAATCCAAATCACCAATCTTCATAACTCTATACTGACATTTTTTCAATTAATTAAAAATTAAAAAACTATGACTATTGTTTTATCATCCAGTCTAAATATTATAGTTGATGTCATTACATTGTTCACTTTATTGACATATATCAAAGTAATAAATCTTCACATAAGCAATCATTTTGTGGATCAGTTTGTTATAAATGATCATCAATTGTTATATCCATCCAAGCAACAACAACAAAAAAAAAACAGAAACAAAAACGTACGTCAAGATCAGTTAAATTTTTGATTACCTCCAACCTGTTTGGAAACTAAGACTATTGGAACTGCTTTCGTGTGTGTGCGTGTGTGTTGTGTTTTTCTCCAACATATACACTGATAATGGTAACTATGTTTCATAAATATACATCAGGAAATTAATTTTACTTCACTCATCTATCATTATCAACCATCTTAAAGAATTTTTAATTTAATGATATATTCAATCATCCATACTACTTATATCAACTTGAATAGATTACTATTAATTTACAATTATAGTTTATATTGTGTTTACAAATTAACTAAATGGATATTAAAGACTGGGAAGAACTACAAAACAGTTCCTATTCATATATATATGTATGAAGCTTATAGTAAGTAGGAAATGAAGCAAGAGCAGCAAAGTAGTGGGATTAGACAACATTCCAGAAGAGACACTGAAAGCAAACGTAGCAGTAACTGCAAAGATATTCAACATTCTCTTCAACAAGATTTGGGATAAAGAATAAGTACCAAAAGACTGGAAAGAAAAACACCTGATCAAGATACTAAAGGAAGGCGATCTAAACAAGTATGAGAACTACAGAAGCATCACTATTCTTTCAATATCTACCAATATTATATAAATTGCCAAAATCTTCTAAATTTATTTATCCATCATCATTAATTCAGTTGTGCTCTAATGTCGTGAAGAGCTTATATGCATAACAGTAATCATCACGAATCCTTCGACTTAACCTTTGTGTTACTTGACATAAGTGATTACAGTGTTTTTGACATCATCATAGAATTCATGTTTCCTACAGAATTATTCAGTGTCACAGTTGTATATGTCATTAATGAGTTTATCGTACACCAAAATTATTTTCTATGTGTCTAAGAGACATTCATTATTTGAAAATTAACTGATAACCAATAACATGAATGCTAGAAACTAAACGAGATGATCACTCAGGTTAAATACAATAGATTTCGATTGAGATCATGAACCGATTGATGTTAGACCACTGGTGGGGACCTGGAAGCAATGGAAGGCCAACTCGTCTTATTGTCGGACTTCTCAGCAGTGCGCAGCCACGATCCCGCCCTCAGGGTTCAAACCCAGGGCCTTCAGTCTGCCGCGCGAACGATTAACCTACTGGACCACTGAGCCGGCCGGCATCCAATGGTATTAGTGTATAACATCAAGCAATCCACGAAATTGCACCACCATCTTCCATTGTACTGAGCTAGATACCTGTCTCTACTCGACATGGATTAGCTCCACTAGTCACAGCTTCTCACTAGAATTCCGAGAATTCCCTTATGTAGCTAGTCACTAGTGAGCACGTGTTAATAAGCAGTATTGGGTTGTGGAGATTATTATGTTTTTGATTGAGATCATGAACCAACGGATGTTAGACCACCATTGGAAACCTTAAAAAAAAACTGGATTTCATTGCATTACTGCCATGTTACTTAATATTCATTTTCATTCTATCACTGTACTATATTATTATCCTAAATGCTTACAGTTATTGGTAATACATTTATTTGTTATTATAATTATTATATTTATAAATTCTAGATAAAGCCAACTATAGTATACCGGAATCAAGTTTAAAAGTACCATATATGTTATCTGCTCAACATTTAACTGGAACATCTCCATCAAATAAAACACCAAATTTATTAACAATGGGACTAGCAACAACAATTACAGCAGCAGTTCTTGGTTCAACTGGATTTCGTAATAATAAATTATTAGATTATTTAAGTGTTACAAAGAATACAACAACAATACCACCCCCACTACCACCATCACTACCAACAACAACTACTATTACTCATAATAAATTAGATAGAAATACTTCAATTGTAAGTAGGAAATTATCAGATCGTACTTCCATTGAGTCGAGTAAATCACTAGCGAAATATTCATCAACAAGTAATAATAGTGTAATAAATGATGTTCTCAATAGTTCAAAACAAAATATTCTATTAGATCCAATTGATGTTGAAAGTGGTCCACTTTTAATAACAGAATATAAAAGTAATGGTAATAATAATAATAATAACGGTAATAAATTATTGGATCCTACACGTTTAATAGTTCATGAATCTGATTCAACGGATACATCAAGTGATGAATCAAGTAATTTAACTAATGATCCATCAACTGTTTATAAATTTCAACGAAGACGAAGTCGGGCTGTATTATATCATTTATCTGGACGATTTGATCAAAAATCTAAGCATAAATTACCATTTAAAAAAGTAAGAAAGATAAAAATTTATTCATTAATATACTATTGATATTTATTAGTAGTATTTTATGTGAAAAGAATGATATCGTTTTAGATATAGAGCTAATCCATGTCGGGTAGAAACAGGTGTCTACCTCAGGAAAATGGAAGATAGTCACACAATTCCGTGGATTGGTTGAGGTTAGACATTAACACCGTTGGATGCCGACCGGCTCAGTGATCCAGTAAGTTAAGGGTTCGCGCGCAAGACTGTAGGCCCTTGGTTCGAATCCCACGGGCGGGATCGTGGATGCGCACTGTTGAGGAGTCCCACAATAGGACGAAACGGCCGTCCGGTGCTTCCAGGTTTTCAATGGTGGTCTAACATCAATCGGTTCATAATCTCAATCAAAAACTTAACAATCTCCACAACCCCTAAACTGATAGATATCATTATAATTAGTCGTATTACTATATGAGGACTACAGATGACATTTAACAGTAAGATGAATATTTATATCAAATGTAACTGATATTTGCTGTAAACATTCGTAAATATCGTCATTAGAGTAGTAATCCAAGATATTTACGTCAGTTCACAAGTAGCCATTAGTTATGTCTTGCTTCAGTGGCTTAAAACGAATAAGCGGTCAATAGGAAATGAAGAACATATGGAATAAAAACAAATGTCTACAAGCCAATATCAAAATAAAAATCTTCGTTACGAGTGTCAAGACAATTCTACTGTTCGGAGCTGAACTACCACAATCATTATTAAAAAAGTAAAAATATTTATAAACAGTTGTCTATGTATGATACTGAATGTCCTTTGACCGGATACAATCAGCATCAGCCTACTATGGAAGAGAACAAACTAATTTCCAACTGAAGAAGAAATTAGGAAAAGACATTGAAAGTGAATAGGATATTGATTGAGGTAATCATCAAATTGCATCACGATGAAAGCACTAACTTGGAATCCTGAATGGAAATGGAAAAGTGGATGGCCAAAGAACACACTGTGTTGAGAATTGGAAGTAGATATGAAAAGGATGAATTGGAACTGGGAATAACTTGAAAGTATTGTCTAGGACATAGTTTGTTGGAGAATGCTGGTGGTTGGTTTATACTTCTCCTTAGGATCAACAGGCGTATGTAAGTGAGTTAGTAAAGCATTGACCATTTGGATGTTGTCTGATACTTACTAATGTGTACATATATACACTGATGTAAATATCGCTGATTAGCACCCTGATAAATACTGTTAGAAATCTTCACAAGGAATATCAATTTTATTTAGGTATTTAGATTTATCAGTAACATTATTCACATATAATAATATGACTTTCTTGTATTCATTTGCTGTGAATTTATACAGATGTTTACAAGTTCATTTATGTAAAATGTCATGACAACTATAAGATAATTCAAAGATAAGAGTGATAAAATGTTAACCCATTTTTAAAACCTTTCTCACAAGTTATGCATCAGCCTTTATAACACTAAAAAAAGGACTTTTCAAATTCTTTTGGGTATTTTTGATTGAGATCATGAGTCGATGAATTTTCGATCACCATTGAATATATTGACGGCCGTTTCAATCTACTATGGGACTCCTCAATAGTTCGCATTCATGATACCGGACGCTGGATTCGAACGCATGACCTTCGATCTCGCTTAACCTCTAGACCTCTGAATTGGCATTCGACGACGTTAATATCTAACTTCAATCAACCCTCGAAATTGCGCAACTATATTTTATTGTCTAATGTAGATATCTGTCTCTAACTAGCTATACCTGATTTCGAAGAGGATATGAATGACGACTGTCTCTTTTTTCCTTTATTATATTTCTCATAATTACCACATAATCCAACATGTAGTCATGTAAACTGTCAAAGTATAGTCGTAGTGTTGCAATTGAAAACTTCAGTGTTGACATGAAATCGTTTTAGAAGTGATCTTTTGAACATAATTAACAACTGGCATTTACCATTACCTTTACAATAATTAAGAGAAAAACACACATTTTTCTAGAACGAACATATAATTAAGCATAGATCAAATTGTAGGATTCATGTTTTCCGGCAGTACATTAGCCAATGACACATTCTTACTCACTAAATAATAATAATAATAATGCTATTCACAGATACAATAACTCACTATTCTAACAAAATTTAACTTGACGTATATAAAACTTTTTATAGAGTGTTCCAAGTTTTAAGATCAGTACTGGCGAATAAACTATATTCATTCACTATCGAATATTAGATGTATTATTCAACATTAGGAATAAATATGATCTGAAAATAAGTCGAAGTAAAATGACATTTTCACTTTTGAAAAAGGTCAGATATTATAGTAATTTCAATGGTTGAGATCATGAGTCAGTTAAAGCTAGAACAACATGGAAAACCTGGAATCACTGGACGGCCAAATCGTCCTATTGTGGAACTGCTCAGTAGTGTGCATCCATGATCCCATCTCGCCAGATTCCAACCCAGAACCTATCAGTATCGTGCGCGAACGCTTAAACACTAGATCACTGAACCGCCCGACATGTCTAACTTCAACTAATCCATGAAATCAAGCGACACATCCACCATTGTCATCAGTGACCTGATATCGCACAACAGATCCAGTTAAACTTGACTGATCACTACTTCTCACTAGAACTCCAGGATACACCTGTTGAAGCCAGTCACTAGTGTGCATATGCTGATTCAAATCAGAATGGCTTTGTGGATATTATAGTAATTTCAATAGTTGAGATCATGAGTCAATTGTAGCTAGAACATCATGGAAAACCTGTAAGCACTGGATGGCCGTTTCGTCCCATTGTCCGACTCCTCAACAGTGCACATCTACGATTTCGCTATCGCGAGATTGTCAATTTATCCTCATTTGAAAATCAACTTATTTGATAGTGATAAAAAATCAATAATTACATAATCCAATCTCTTTCTTGTTATCATCATACTCTCCGAACAATCTAATAACTAACTATCTGAATTCGATAGCTTCATGGTTAACACATTAAACATTGAAATCAAATCGATATTTGATCTTATTCTCAATATAGATTCAGGTAAATTCAACATTGACAGTTCCATTGAAAGTGATAATGTGTTTCATCTTTTTTTGTTTCTCTTCTCAGTTTCAACGTATTTCTGGCAAAGAAACAATACCTGAATATAAAGTTCAAGATGTACAAGCATCAAGATTTATATTATTACATTATAGTTTATTTAAAATTATTTGGGATTGGATGATCTTATTATGTACATTTTATATTGCTATAATGGTACCATATAATGCAGCATTTTCTCAGGGAGGTGATGAAAAAGATTTAATTATATGTGATATTATTGTGGAATTATTATTTATTATAGGTAAGTGAATGGTTGATATTATGTGTTAAATGAATTGATATGTTGTATTAGATGTAAGAAAGCTATGAACTAAGTTGGACTAGATGTTCATTACCACTCGTCCGTATAGTATCATTGTAATCTTAAAGGGAAATGATGCTTTCTGCGAGGTTTAAATCCTTATCATGAAGCATTATTGACTAACGTTTTACCGTTTATTCAAATCTGTCTCAACTGACAACCTGTGTAACTGAAATATTTAAAGTAAACAGTATGGGAATTTGTGGAGATTGTAGTATTTTAACAGTTGAACTAACGAGTCGATCTAAGTTAGATCATCATTGAAAACCTGTAATCACAGGACGACCGGCTCATCATAGTATAGAACATTTCAGCAGTCTGCACCTATGATCCTGAACATGTGACCCGAACCCATGACCCTCGGTTTCATGTGCGAATTCATAACCTTTATAACACTGAGCTGGCATCCAACGATGTTGATGTCTCATGTTCGGTATCGTGGGTGCGCACTGCTGAAGAGTCCCATACCAAAACTAAACGGCCCTCTAGTTTTTTCAAGTTTTCAATAGTGATCTACTTTAGATCGACTCGTGAATTAAGCTGTGAAAACATTTAACACTAAGTATAGAAAGATATCATGTTTATCTAGTCCTTCACTAGTAATCAATTTCTAATGCTCTTTTATCAAATTTGGTAGAATGTTGTTGTACCATGACCTAATTCGTCTCTTTCTAAGTACTTTAAACCGAAAAGTTATGATTAGGAAGAAAATACTTAAGATAGTCGACGGCAATGGATTATAAATTGAAACAATACTAGTTAGATTAGAAGCTATTGATGTAATCTATGTAATGATCAATTAGTGATGTTAACATTCCCAGCTTATAATTAAAATGATCCTCCACTGGTTTTATTTAATTAATTATTGTCTTCCTCAATGAGATATACCATACTAATAGTGAAGTTGTGTTTTATTAGTTTCAGATATAAATTTTGGTTAAGTGTACCCACTAAAAAGCTTCATTGTAAATACAAACTGACCACAATAAAGTGAACATTTTATCTATAAACTTTAGTTATTTTATAACCGTTCCACTGTCAATACTACATGGAGTTCAGTCACAGTCAATGTTTAAACCGTTCATTCAAATTGTCGTTTGTTATCAAGAGTATGAGTGTACGACAAACGTTACAATTTGAACGATGTATAAACGTTTCACAACTCCACCTGGAGTCCCTCCAGGGTCTACTGCCGGTCCCAAGCCCGGATAAAGGAGGAGGGTTAGGCATGGGGTTAGTGACCCCATCCCGTAGAAAACTAACTCGCTAAAAAAAACGCTAACCAGAAGAAATAAACGTTTCACATTCAAATATGTGCATATGTGTACACATTTTTAGATTCCTCTTCATTATAGTTATTTTGACAACAAACTAGACAACGTAAATCTCTACAACTCTAGTATCATCATGTTTTTTCCAACCGTAAAAGGTTATGAAAAACGGTAATTTAGCTATCGATATATTCTTGGACTTTATATGATGATAGATCAGAGAACCGATTCATCATAAAAACACAAAGCACTTATGTTATAATTATAGATAATTATTTCAGCATGCATCAATATTTACAAACTCTACACTTATATATATATATATATATATATATATATATATATATATATATATATATATATATATATATATATATATATATATATATATATATATATAACAGTATAGAGTTGTGAAGATTATTAAGTTTTAGATTGAAATCATGAATTGATAGGTATTAGACCACCATGGAGAACCTGGAAGCATTGGACGGCCGTTTCGTCGGATTTCTCAGCAGTGTGCATCCACGACCCCGCTCACCGGATTCGAGCCCAGGACCTTCTGTCTCACGAGCGGACACTTAACCTCTAGACCAGTGAGCCGGCCGGGATCCAATAGTCTTAATATCTAACTTCAACCAATCCACGAAATTGCACCACCAGTTTCTATTGTCTTCATTTGGTAACTGTCTCACATCCGACACGGATTATCTCCACTGGTCACGGTTTCCCACTAGAATTCTCGGAGTTCTATATTTATACTATCTATAGAATACTGGTGTCAGTTCGCTTATATTTCAGATAATGATAATGATATTGTTGAAATTGCTAGTTTTGTAAGTTTTCAGTGATTGTTTAATTAAGATTAATTAATGATAAAAATTAAAAACAAATTCCTAATTATGAATAATGAACAAACTAATTAAAGATATGGTGAATGAAATAATTAATATTCATTGATATTAATTAATAAATGAGATTTTTATAGATTATTTATTTCAGTGGTTAAGATCGCGAGTCAGTTGAAGCTAGACCACCATTGAAAACCTGGGAGCATTGGACGTCCTATTGTGGGACTCCTTAGAATCCCCCCATGCGTGATTCGAACACAGGACCTACTGGTCTGGCACCCGAGCACTTAACCACTAGACCGCTGAGCCGACCGGCATCCAACGGCGTTAATGTTTAACTTCAACTAATCCATGAAATTGAGCGACACATATACCGTTGTCTTCAGTGAGTTACTATCTCACAACAGACCTGGTTGAACTTGACTGATCACTACTTCTCACTAGAACTCCAGGATATACCTCGTGAAGCCAGTCACTCATGAGCATATGTTGAATAATATCAGATGGGTTTTGTGTGCTTCAATTGACTCATGATCTTAACCACTGAAATTACTATAATATCCACAAAACCCACCTGAGATTATTTATTTATTTGAACATATAAATATTGGTACAAAGGAATACCAAATACATATGCACTACACAAGTCACTTGATTTGTGTTTGGGCTGGGATACTGACCGGCTGCCCAAACTGAAGCAGGTGATTTTCATAGGGGGCCGCACTCGGAGTCTTCGACTAAAAAGTCTAATCCACAAGGCAGTGAAGCAATGTCAGGAGACGTAGTCTCATGGTAGCCGGTAACCAACGATTGATTCATACACTATTTGTTTCATCAAAATACTGGAGCCCATGTGTACCATTGGTTTAGAATCAAGGTTTTTCAACTCCCCTAGATGAACTGTCTGAGTTCACTAACCCGGTTAAAGCGTTGTACATTCACTTTTCTTTCTCACAATGTCGTCAACAACATCCGACTAAGATGAGTAATTAAAACAATCTTTAAATCATAAAATTTCAATCATCAAAGTATTGTAGTTGTACTATTTATTACTTATATATGAAAGAAGGTTTTTACATAAATTATGGGAAAGACTTTCCTGTATATCTAATAATAAGAGGGAGCAAACACTGTGTAAGTGTCAAATAAATACTTCTTTCAGTACATTTTTTTATTGCGAAATTTTATTCTACTTAAGTGAGAACACTTGAAATTCATTAACTGAGTTTACCTACACCTATGTATATATATATATATGAGCCTCTCTTGGGAGATCATCTGTTAAGTCTTAATTATATGATTTCAAGTGGTATAATCATGGTACTTGAAATGTAAGAGCATTTCTTTTAAAAAAAAACAAACAAACATTATTTTGAAGGATTTGGACGAATTTCTATCAAAGAACTAATTAAGACTATTTTGTAAGGAATAAAATATGAAATAACTAGTTAGGCAACTTTGTATAGACAATATCACAATAATGAGTACGTACTTGGAATGAAACACTAATTGATTGCTTATCCAGACTTGAAGTCACGTGGATTATGTTTAGATGTATAATGATTGGAAGAATGATGGAACTAAGCTTCATACTAAAGAGGAATAATGTATTTATAAAATCTCAGCGGATGAATTTGAAATAAATCCAACGTTTCGCCTAGCAATCTAGATCAAGTTTCTTCAAGGAAATATCAAGGTTTCATATTGTTTATCACTTAGCAGTAAGATCATATTATGATTTGATAGATAGAATATGACCAGAACGTACCACTGTTTATTATTCAATAAGTAATCAATTTGATTTGGAAGATGTAAAAACCTTTACATATTTGGGCAGCATCATTGATGAACACGGTGGATCTGATGCAGATGTGGAGGCGCGGATCGGCAAAGCAAGATCAGCATATTTACAACTGAAGAAAATCTGGAAATCAAAACAACTGTCAACCAACACCAAGGTCAGGATTTTCCATACAAATGTCAAGACAGTTCTACTTTATGGGGAAGAAACCTGGAGAACTACGAAAGCCATCATCCAGAAAATACAGGTGTTTATTAACAGTTGTCCTCACAAAATACTTCGGATCCGTTGGCTGTACACTATCAGCAACAACCTACTATGGGAGAGAACAAACCAGATCCCAGCGGAGGAAGAAATCAGGAAGAAGCGGTGGAAATGGATAGGACACACATTGAGGAAATCACCCAACTGCGTCACAAGACAGGCCCTCACATGGAATCATCAAGGCCAACGGAGAAGAGGAAGACCAAAGAACACATTACGCCGAGAAATGGAAATAGACATGAGAGAACTGAACAAGAATTGGATGGAACTAGAAAAGATGGCCCAGGACAGAATGGGTTGGAGAATGCTGGTCGGCGGCCTATGCTCAATTAGGAGTAACAGGCGTAAGTAAGTAAGTAAGTACATGAAACTTGTTCTGATGATGTCATTCAGAAGGACGATGAAAGCTCCTCGATCAAAACATCCAGTTCAGAGAACAAAACTCCATCAAGATTATTCATTCCTATATTGTTAGACACAACTTGAATATCTCAAAAATGACCCTTCTGACTACTGTACTGAAAGAATTGTATATGGATTAGTCGGACGATCGTCATCAGATCTACAACCTGGAATATATCTCATGAATTTTCATAACTATATAAACGCGTGGTTCTTAACTAGATAATCCAGTGAGTAGAAAAATTATATTTCTGACGTTTTGTGACTTAATGTAAGCCACTTCTTCAGAGTAAATAAATAACCGACATCAAACTAACACAAGTTTAAATAGTACAAAGGAAACAGTGCAGGACATTTCTAGTACAATGAAAATCGTAATAGACCTAAATATGTCAATGGCAAGTAAGTTTTGGTCGAGGTGAATTTATGTTACATGTCACTGTATTAATCTGTATATTAGAATATGGGTATGACAAATGTATGAATTTTTAATGTGATGTAGTGGCCCCCGAAATCGACTGTGTGTGTGTAGATTGTATGATAAATAAATAGGGTAAAATGTAGTTGTTTTGGTAAACAGTCCAGGTTAGATGAATATTCAGGCCCTCTTTCCTGTCGGAGACAGAGGGATTTAACACTAGGTGAAACGCTTAGGTTGTTCTCCTCTCTTTATAATGCGAGAAGCCATTTTGAATTATTTTGATATTTCTAATATCAATTTAGTGATTATTGCAAATAGCACGTACCGCTATTACTGATTCAACTTGTAGTGTAATTATTCTATTGTACAGCATGTAAAAGTGAAGCTTTCTTAGAACACTCTACCATGGATGATAAAATGCTGTCTCGTTATGTTTGTATATCATCAACTACAGTAAGTGAATAGAGAATCGTGACTAAAGTGTTAAGCGGATTTACTGATCACTAAAAGGGTCGAACTTTAAACTTTAAGGTATGCATCAAAATTGTCATGTTTTATATTATTTTATCAACTATAAATTATCTCAATAGTTGAAATCATGAGTCAATTGAAGCTAGACCACCATAGAAAACCTGGAAGCACTGGACGGCCGTTTCGTAGAGCTGGTAGATTCAAGAGTTCTTTGAAGTGTTCTACCCACACGTTTCATTGTTCTTCAGTGTTGGTGATTGATTACCTTGCCTTCCTTGCTTTTCACTGGTCGTTCTGATTTACGATAATTTCCAGCGAGTTTCTTTTTCCTGTCATACTGTTGTCTCATGTTTCTTTATCTTGCAGCCTTACCCGCTATCATTGCTAAATATTCCACATATTTACGTTTGTCGGTTCTGATGCTTCTCTTCACTTGCTTGTTTAATTCTGCTTATTCAGCTTATGCCTTCTCGACGATTGACTGCACCCTATCGTATAATCGATCTTTAGCGTCTTCATTGTAGTTGTTGGTAGGCTCATAGCATTGGATGATGTTCATTGAAATGCCCTATATCTTTGTTTTGAAGGAGGCTTTGATGAACCTTGCTTCATGAGATTGCCATCCATTAAGTGCATTTTGTGCTTGTTTAGACAGCATCAATGCAACTCCTTGTGTATGTGGAGCATTTTCTTCTTCATGACCGGAGTATAACAGCAGCTGCTCTGAAGTTAGTCTTTGTTGTCCAACTTGGGTTGAATGTGTTTCACTGATTTCGAAGACCTTCAGGTTGTATCTTTTCATGTATGCAGCAATTCGGAAGACGCTCTCGGTGTCCCACATTGTACGAACATTCCATGTACCTAATTGAGTGATTGCTCTGATTGTCAGAATGGGCCTCGTGACTTCCGAAGAAACCCCGCTTTCACCATGAGGAGTAATAACTCTTCTAAATGAAGACCCCCTGAATACCAGGGCAGAGTTTAAATGGTTTGAATTATTTTTTCTAATTAGCTTTCTTTGGCGAGTTAGATTTCTACGGGATGAAGTCGCTAACCCCATGCCCAACCCTCCTCCTTTATCCGGGCTTCAGTCAGTCGGTCAGTCGGTTAAAACGTAGGACCAGGCACTTATATGGATCGGCCCACGTTGCGACACCTCATTGGCACAGCAAGACGAACACCGGATTCATAGGAATGGTTATTTCAGTAATGGTAATATGTAAAAGAAAGGTTGTGTATAAGGGTATAATACAGGAAAAAAGAATTAGTTCGTAGAAAGAAAGATATGAAGTGATTTTAATCTTATAGTTTAAGGCAAGACAAAGAACGTATACACGTACGCCATTGTAAATGATTCTGAGCCATTTCACTCGGAGTCTCCAACGATTGGTTACGATAGTCGCGCGGACCCCAACCAAGTAGTAAGCATCAAGAAGAGCTACAGACGAATTTATTCATCACATATCTGTAGTTTATTTTTTTCATCAGCTACAAATATCGATTATTGCTTGGCTTACACATCTCCACTGTGCGTCATTTCACTTCTCTCTCTCTTCTCTTCGCTTTCTTCAATCGTTTATTTCGATCATCAATAGTACAAAATATACACATTCAAAAAATCTATTCCCGTATTCGACTTTTATTTTAATTCCATTATGGATTAACGCGAATCAAGTCGATAATAATATTACGAGGATTGGCGACATACATATATATATCTCAATAACAATGACTAATGATCAAACTGGAGTCAGATATAAGGCTTATAAAAACTATTAGACATCATCTCTACAAACGAGGGAAGAAGATATAATCATACATTAAAACATAATTTTCATTAATCACGTAATCTAAATTAATTATTATTAAATATAACTGTTTCAATGAAAAACAGTTACAAAAGTAGTATATTCATTTCAACTTAATTAATTATCATCACGAAAGATTAATGTTTGTTCATTGAAATTTAAACAAAAAAACAAAACAACCAAATGTAAATATCACAGGTTGAAATCACGAGTCAGTTGAAGCTAGACCACCATTGAAAACCTGGAAGCACTGGACGGGGGTTTCGTCCTAGTATGGGACTCGCCAGCAGTGCGCACCCACGAACCCGCCCCCGCGGGATTCGAACCCAGGACCTGCTAGGCTTCGCGCGCGAGCACTTAACCATTAGACCACTGAGTCGGCCGGGGTCCAATTGTGTTAATGTCTAACTTCAACCAATCCACGAAGTTGCGCCACCAAACACCAATGTCTTCAGTGAGTTGATATCTCAAAACAGACCTGGTTGAACTCCACTGGTGACGGCTTCTCACTAGAACTCCAGGAGGTTCTCCTGAAGTCAGTCACTAGTAAGCAGTTGATTATTATCAGAATGAGTTTTGTGGAGATTTTTAGGAAATTTCACAGGTTGAAATCATCAGTCAGTAAATAGTTGATTGATAATTAAGTTATTGATTGAGATCTTGAACTCATTGATGTTAGATCAACCATTGAAAACCTGGATGAACTGGATGACTGTTTCGTCCTATTGTCGGACTCGTCAACAGTGCACATCCATGATCCCTCTCGCCGGATTCAAACCAGTGTTTTCAGGTTTTCAATGGTTGTCTAACATCAGTCGGTTTATGATTTCAATCAAAAAACTTAATAATGTGCACAATTCTATATTGATAATTAACATATGCTCACTAGTCACTAGCTTCGTGAAGGAATTCTCGGAGTTCTAGGGAAAAACCATGACTAATGGAGTTATTTCGTGTCGGGTCGAAACAGGTATCTACCTCAGAACAATGAAAGATGGTGGCACATCTAGTGCTTCCAGGTCTTCAATGGTTGATCTAATATCAATCGGTTCAAGATCTCAATCAAAAACTCATTATTCTTCACAACCCTGTACTGAAATTTGATGATATTGAAATATGTAGTTTGTTTAGTTCTATAATTAAGGATCAACTTGATAATGACAATGAAATGAACTACCTTTAAAGAAAGTAGACTGAAATATCTTTAGATTATTTAGAGTTGGATGATTTAACAACGTTATTTTGATTGTTATCCTGAAGAAGTTTGAACGAATTTGTTGGAGGAAACGGTGAGACTATAATTTACGGACGAACTTATCAGATTTAGGATAATAGGTCTTAGATTTTGGCGCGAAATTCACTCACCCATTCATCCAAATAGTGTCTTGGCATTTTAGTTGATGTCAGTTTGTGATAAACCATAAATCTAAATCCTAACCCTTACCATCAATTGTAAATCATTGTCTTGATTCTTCATACTACTATGTAACCTTCATTTAGCTTTATTAAGCAGATAAACACTCTGAGATGCAAGTACATCCAGCTCGGGATTCCACTACTATCTATTATCCATCTTTGCTTATAAAGTCTTGATTGTAGTTCATTTTATTCATAAAAGTATGATGAATACTGTTCTCCTATTGTTTTTGACAATTTTTTAGTTTTTATTCGTCAAATCAGGTAATGAAAAAAAATGTTCAATCAGTTCTATTATTTTACTTATTCGGTAAAACTATTGTAACACCATTAGATGCCAACTCAGTAGTCTAGAGGTTAAACATTTGCACGCAAGACTAAAGGTCATGAGTTCGATTCTCACATGCGGAATCGTGCATGCACACTGCTAAAGAGTCTTACACTAAAACGAATCGATTGTTCAGTGCTTCCAGATTTTCCACGATGGTCTAGCTTAGATTGACTAATCGAGTTAACTGTTGCAATACTACAATAATCACAAATACCCGTATTGATTTATTAATTGTATATGCATTAACTGGGCATAAAATAAAAACCGCTACTTGTCATATTGTTTATACAATTTCAGTTCAATTTGTATATATATATCTCCTCTTTCTTTTAAACAGATATTATATTAAATTTTTGGACTACATATGTTAGTAAAAGTGGGCAAGTTGTATATCATTTAAAAGCCATTGCTATCAATTATTTACGTGGTTGGTTCTTTCTTGATTTATTGGCGGCTATTCCATTCGATGTTATTTTAGCTGTAAATAATCCTGAAATACAAGGAACTATTGGTGAAATGGTAAGTTGAAAAGTTTTGAGTAACACTTTTTTCACTTGAAACAACAAGTACTAGGTATGAGTTAATATGGTGGTTAGAGGTAGTCAACAAGAAACCCAGATGATCCGGGTTTCGTGCTATTTGGCACCCGTCATTAAGGTGTAACTGTAATCTTGAAAGAACTGATGCCCCTTGACGAATTCAATCCCGTGTCACTCAGCCTCACAGTTAGAAACATTACCACTGAACTATCCGACCGCCCCCCTGTCGGACTGTGATGTAATCACAATTGATTGATCACTAAATTATGATCAATGTCATGTATGTCAACGCCTTCTTAGTGCAGATCGAATGCGATCGACCAAGTTGGTATGAGTCTTAGTGTATAACATTAACACTGAAACATAAATGACTTCAATTGATAAGTTCGCAATAGGAAGATATCATTGCTAATGATAATATGAATAGTTTAAGTTAGATTCTATGTGATCTTTCAATCAGAGGATGACTACTACTATTGTCTTGTCAACTAAATATGTTTACCTTTGAATAAGTAAGTTCACACAGTTTTTTATTATAATTTGGAAACTGGTCATATTGACATAAACGATCAATATAGATTAATTGATTAACAATATGGCTTATCATTAAACTTATATATTGTCTTCGATGTTTTTTTTAATCAGATTCATTATTTCAAAGAGAATTGTATAAATAATAGTTGAGATCATCAGTTCATTAAAACTCGATCATTATGGAAACCTTGGAAGTACTGAACGGTCATTCTGTCTAATTGTATTAGTTAATAGAATTGAATGTTCTTTGACTTATAGGATTATTTAATTAGCCATTTTGTTTGTTGTTAAAATTGTATTCATTTTGAAATACTTTAATCTCAATGTTTAAAATCTTAAGAATAAAATTCCAGGAATTAATGTTATGACAAACTTTGAAAATTGTAATCAATTAGGAAAACATTGTTTTGGAATGGTGGAGAAGATTTGTAGCTAAGGTGGATGATTTTGGTGGAGTTTTGTTCTCTGAACTGGATGGTTTGGTCGTAGAGCTTTCATTGTTCTTCTGAACGACATCATCAGCACAAACTTCAGATAGAAGACTTCTCAGAGAACAAAACTCCACCAAAATTGTTTTGGAAGCTTATAATAAGTATAATAAGATTGATATGTAAAGTATTTATTAAATTAACGGGTTAATATACACATTGAGAGTTTTTATAAAGGTGTAATTCGTGTGATATTGAATAATCTAGGGAAACCAATAATCTAGGTTTCATCCCAGTACCGGAATCCTTAGCAGTGCGTATCCACGCTCCCGCCTTGAGACATTTGAACCCAGGACCTATCAGTCTCACTCGCGAACGCTTAACATATAGACCATTGAGCCGGCCGGGATCCAATTGTGTTAATGTCTAACTTCAACTAATCCACGAAATTGCTCCACCGTCCATCATTGTCTTCAGTGAGTTACTATCTCACAATAGACCCGACTGAACTCCACTGGTCACTGCTTCTCAGTAGAACTTCAGGATCTACCACTTGAAGCGAGTCACTGTTGGATGCCAGCCGGACGGCCAGCTCAGTGGTCTAGTGGCTAAGCGCTCGCGAGTGAGACTGATAGTTCCCAGTTTTGAATCTCTCAAGGCGGGATCGTGGGTGCGCACTGCTGAGGAGCCCAATACTAGGACGAAACGGCCGTCCAGTGATTTCAGGTTTTCCATGGTGGTCTAGCTTCAACTGAATCATGATCTCAACTACTGAAATTACTATAATATTCACAAAAATCCATTCACATACATATTACTTACTTAATTACTTACGCCTCTTATTAGACTTCCACTGAATGATAACAATCATTATGTTATGAAATTTTAGATAATGACAGAGATTTATAAATAAAATGCAAACTGAGTTTTTATAACGGTGTAATTCATGTGATTTTGAATAATACAGGGAAATCAATAATCTAGATTTCTTTTTAGTAGACGCCTATCAGTTTGATGTGTCTATCCTCCTTGTTATTCGAAATTCTACCTCAGTAACACTCTGCTAAATAAAAAACGTTTTTTTGCTACATTGGTATTATAACAGATTTATTTTATGAATGACCGATTAAATGAAATATCGAAAATTATTTATTCGATATTTGCCCCCCAATGCCCTGATGCATCCGTGAGTAGGGAGAGTCAGCTCGCCCTCTCAAAATGCTCTCACATGACCACTGTCAGAGAAGTCCTACTCACTGCCTTCTCGCAACACGGGTGTTCTTACGAAGTTGAGAGGACAAAATGCCGATATTCAGCGCTCTAACCGAGTTTGTAAACAAAGACAATCCATCTAGGGGAGTTGAAAAACCCTGATTACAAACAAATGGTTTAAATGAACTCCAGTATCCCAAAGGAACGAATGGCATATGAACCAAATATTGGTGACTAGTTAACATGGGATTTTATCTGCTGACCTTACTACACTGCCTTTTGGATAACACCTTTAGGTCAAAGTCTATGGATATGACCCCTTATGAAAACCACCTGCTTCGGTTTGGGCACCCGGGTAGTATCACGACCCTCACACAAATCGAATGATTTATGTTGCGCATATTTATTTGGTGTTTCCTTGTCATTAACATTACCTATTACACTGATGTAGTTTTTGAAGTACTTGTATCAGATTTACTTATCTAAATTACTGGCTAAATACAGATTTTAACATGTTATCACGAAAGTACTTCAAAGATTAGTACAGTATTAACCTTGATCACAATTTTTAGCTTTGAAACAACTCTTAGTGAATCACTCCAGTAATATTTCATACTTTGAATTGAGTCGTCTAATTTAAATTATTCTAAATCCAGCACTTTCCTATACAAACAGTAAGACTAGACAGATTAACAAAAAAGAATATAGACTCTAGTGAGAAACAGTAACCAATGAAGTTCAACTATGTTGATTATGAGGTAGTTAGTTATAAATAGAAAACGCTTGACCATTATCGTAAACTGGTTGATGTCAGAGAAGTACACAATAAGATGTCAATTTTAATGGTATAAATGTTTAGTGTACTCCATAAGACCTCTTTCAGGCTTTAGGTTCGAGTCCTAATGTGAGGGCACAAATATATGCTTTGGAGAAAACGTTTACTCATATGAAACAATTACTCGGTACTTCCTGGTTCTTAATCATTGTATAATTGATATCAGTTTGTGATTTAAAAAAATTATAAAATTATCCTTCCAATTGCTAATAACAAGAAATGATAAAAAACTAAATGCTACAGTTTCTTCTTCAGTCAGTTGTGAACCAATATACTTCATTTTAGATGTTCATTTTAAGAATCGCTTGTCCATAAAAACTTGCCATTTGCTAGGTTTGAAGCGGTTACGAGTTCACCTAATCTGTGAACGTAACAAAGACTCAGTGACCAAAGACCAATAGGCTAGCTAATCGATGCGTCTCAGCCTCGCTAACTAGAGGAAGAAGTCCAAGCATGGAATGGGGAAGTATGTTCCGCGAAAAGCCAGAAACGAGGGATAACAACAAAGATCAAAAAATATATCTGCAGCACAAAACCGTCCTTGGGGAGAGTTACAATATAGCATACTAAAATATACAAGTGACCAATAGCATAGAAATACGACATGAAGGTGAAAAGAGCGCTTTTGGCGCGGAAACAAAGAAATTCAAATTTTCTATATAAATTACAAATTAGGTCCTTTTCAAGTGAGTTCTGGGGATCTAACGTCTTCAACCCATGCACCATATTACCTAGATCAATGTAATATAATTTACTTGAATAACCTCGACATACAAAAGTGATTAGTTAGGGTTTCTGGAGATTGTTAAGTTTATTTTGATTGAGATCATGAACCGATTGATGTTAGACCATCATTTGAAAACCTGG